TATACCTATATATATATATATAGGTATATATATATATATATACATATATTTATTATTTATATTAGATATAGATATATCTATAATGTTTTTTCTAACCCTGTGTATATAATATCATTTTAAGACCTAAGACCGCGCGCGCGACAGAGAGAGAGAGAGAGAGAGAGAGAGAGATATGTAGTGTATGTGTACGTATGTGTAACCTTTGTATAATGGTTTTTATTAATGTATTAAATTAAATTGATGAGATCGTTTGAATTTAGGCAGTTGAATGATAAATTTGTCAACAGAATACCTATGTTAATATTAATTTTAAGAATTATGCCATTATACACTTCTCTCGGAACGTATTACGTTTCTTTTGTCTCTGCTGTGACGTAATATCAATGCGCGCAATAATTTTTCTCGTTAATTTTGGATAAATTTTTATACTTTATCTATCGATTGATAGTATTATTGGATTAAAGACTCAACCAACACACATTCCCGGGAAAAAAGTTCTATATATAATTATATATAATTATATGCAAAATATGTTCCTTTCCTTTATATATGTTTCTTTCCTTTTTAAAATTATTCTTTAATACAAAATTGATAATAATAAGAAGGAAATATAAAAAATAGTTAAAAGAATAATTGTTACATTGTTTTTTTTTTACAAAAAATCAAGCTTGAAGAAATAAGAAAAATTGTTTGTATATAATTATATATGTATATTTTTAATCATTTATATATGATTATATATGAGCAATTTTTCTTATTTCTTCAAACTTTTTTTTTGTAAAAGAAACCAATATAAAAATTATTTTTTTAATTATTTTTTATGTTTGCTTCTTATTATTATCAATTTTGTATTAAAGAATAATTTTACAAACTAAAGAAACATATATAGACATATTTTGCATATAATTATATATAATTATATATGGAACTTTTTTTTCCGAGCTGCTATATATACAATACATAACTTTTTTTTTCACCCTCCTTCGTAACACCTACATTTAACTGGACACACTCTATGCTGTTGGCCAAATCATCATCGATTTTCTCCATGACCGAGCAGTTGTGACGTTCATGTCAAATACATTCACCATTGTTCACACTGGCGTACATTCCCATATCACGTGCATCTGTTATTAAGGGTATACATATATATATATATATATATATATATATATATATATATAATATACTACAAAGACTGTTCTTCTTGAATCATTTTGACCATAACTTTTCAGATTATCTTCAACGGTATGCGTATTATCGAAGAATCACTTCAAAGAGTCCGGTTAAAAATAAAATAAAAATTTTGACAATATAATATACGATAATATGATGATCTTATATGGAACTCATGAATTTTATATAAGCTCACAAATCTCGCTGGGCAACTTGTGAGATGTTCTAGAACTTGGAGAATCTTGAGGAAGGAGTAGAAAAACACGCACCGCATAACGCGGGTAGCTTCGGCGATTTCTTCGAGACAGCTTGTTCGATGCGGTCGGTTTTTTCCAACATGTCGCGAATCTCGATCTCTTCACACTCGGGTGGCATTTTTCTTTTATTTTTCTCAGCGATCGGCCTCCTGCTCAGCGTATGTTTCGTCTCTGACTACCCGGCACCGGTCCCGCGTGCTCGCAATCAATATCAATCCCGGGGTGGACACCGGCGCGAAGTTTCCCTCTCTGAACCTATGCAGGCCTGTTCCCCACTGAGGAATCCCCACCTTAATCAATGCAGACTCGTCACGATATTCGAAACTGTTCCGACCGCATTGAACTGTTGCGATTAAATTTTTCAGACGTATTTGAACATATTGAAACAAATGCAAAAGTGGTTTATATTTTTAAATATATATTTGCTTTTATTGATAAATGATTTATTTTAAACACAAATATAGCGAGACCATTTGTTTCAATATGTTCAAATATATCTAAAAATCTAATCGCAAAAGTTAAATTATTTGAAAATAATTGACGATCTAAAAAATGATAATAATGATATTTTCTCGCGGTAATTAATTATACTTAAGGTGGTTTTATCGCTCAACGCCAACTCGATAGTGTAACATTGTCACATAAACGTCACATAATCGCATATGTACAGTCTATGCCAAATGTTTTTATTGACTTACGCTTGTTTTTATTAATTGTATGGAGGGACTAACTTTTGACTAGGACTTGCTCGATAAAACCACCTTAAGAAAATGAATATATTGGTCCATTTACTTTTTTGTATTCAGAATTTTCGCTTTCTCTTTCTCTCTCCAACGACCGAATGCATATTTATCTTTTTAATTGCAGACACTTTTTAGGAATTTCGAACAACACAAACAGGTTTTATTTTTATATTAAAAATATCATGGAAATTGAGAATTCAGTCTGAATAATTAATTTCTCTACTTATTTCTTTTTTCGCATAAGTCCCCGCTAAAAATAATTACTTGAATCGATGACATATATTGATCCATCGATTTAACCAATCATTTCTAGCTGAGATGTATTTGATGAAGTGTTACGTACAGTCATGGACATATCGTTTACGATACTTTTTTTCATAGATTTTTAGCATATATTTAATGTACACTACATACTCAATAAAAAATAGGAAACACTTTTAAAACGCTCAAAATTGGACAGTATTTAAATCGCTGTAACTCAGTGAAAAATTATCATAGACAAAAAATTAAAAAAGCATTTTAAAGCTTGAAACTTATACTTTAACATGCTTTTTGTCGTGTTTTCAAAATCTTTTATCTCAACAGTTCTATATTTAAAAGAATATCAGGTTATTTTGTTTCTTAAAAATTCGCGCATTCCACACACTGCAATTCGATAAAAAATTTTTTCTCAAAAAATTTAAGATTTAAAAAAAATACATAATTTTACATACAAAATGCTTTTTTAAAATTTTCTTACGGCTTTTTTTGACCAAACTACGCAATTTTGAAGCTAAATCTGCATTTTTTATAACTAATGTTGAAATTCAATGAAGAGGTTGCTGATTTACACATAGATGTGTGTGTGCGCGCGCGCGCGCGTGTGTGTGTGTGTAGGATAAGTATGTATGCTTTGCGTGCGTGTGTTTAGCATTGTGTATTGCTTCTTCTCTGATTAATTATCATTTGTAAACGTTGTCGCATGTTTATGCATCTTTGAATTAAATTTATTGAAATTGAATCTAATTGAGCATATTTGGGACGAGATTAAGATGCCGTGAGGAACAGCCACAAAATTTGAACTAGTTAGGAGAAGTTCTTAAGCTTAATTTGGCATAAAATTCCAATGGATTTAATCCAAAGATGTATAAACATGCGAGAGAGCGCTTACAAGCAGTAATCAATCAGAGAGGAAGAAATACACTATACTAAATACACGTGCACAAATCACATACTTATTTATCCAACACACA